TGAACGAAAATGAGAAAAAGGACCCAAACCATCGTCATGAGAGTCTGCACGTTACCTCTCAACTCTAAATTGTTTGTAAGCTGGATACCCATGCTTGACGTCGCACTCATCGCTGCCATTCCTGCATTCTTGCCACTATTTTGTCCAAGTGTCTACTGGTCTCTTTGTTTCTTAATTTTCTTTGCTGAGCGTGGTAGACTTAGGTCCGTTGTGCACGCATAGAAGATGAAGTGGCGAGTTCCCATAATGACGTCCTTGATGTTATCCAGCTATCCTCAGTCTGCGACTCCACCGAATCTTCCGTCTTCCATGCGCCTATGCACCATATCAAAGCTCGATGAGCTCAGCACCTTTGCCTCGTATGACTGGCTGCACAACCATGCACCCGAGTCCGCCTCGTCCCAAGTCGCGATGATCACCAAACTGATTTCAGTACTTGATGTCAGAAAAATCCGATCTCCGCGTAGTAAAGCTACGAGCCCTCTCCGCTCACGGTACAGAACCTGCACAAAAGTTACATACTTTCCCCGCGCGTCAACGCGACACTATTCAAAAGCTATAACGATCACTTTGCTCGACCGCTAGATAACGAGACTTCATCCGCGGGAGCTTAAAGGGGGAGCTGCCGAGCACAATCAATGAAAGAACGTGAAAATTCAGAAAACAATTAAAAGTGAGACTGGAAATGAAAGACGCATATGGCGACGGTTGCACGGCATTACATACCTCTCAGTTCGGCAAATTGCCCAGCGAGAAGAGACACACGTGCTCGTCTAAAGTGTAGCGCACTGCAATATCGGCAATACTCTGGTGGCCGGACCTCTTTCACACCAAAAATCGAGTGTGCCATTGGAGGAGGTGTTTGGAGCTTAAGAGCGGTTGTGACTTAACTTTTGAGCCTCTGACGATGACAAAAAAAATTCTTGGTTGTGTCTGCGCGCAGAGCACACCTCGGCTGTCAAATGGATCAAAAGGATTTGAGATTCTTCAAAAAAAGCGGAAAATTTCAATTTCACTGGTTCATTATGAGGTCCTCCTCAAATCCTCCTAACATTCAAAGAAACACGCGATGGTAATTTTGGACACCCTGTACATATCAGCAATTTTTCCTTCAAACAGGCAATCTAAAGACCATCTGCACTAGGCAGCATAAAAATTCTTTTATCTAACTACCAAAAATTGCCCGTATGTGGCTTGCATTTGTTGAGCAACACAACACTTAGCAACAACATTTAATGCCACCATTTTGCTTTAAAAATGCCTTAACATACTGTAAAATTATGTCACTCAGAACGAGTGCCCCAAATCAATTGTTCAAACTTATTTGTATAACGTACAAACCCAAAATTACGTATGTATGTCGATACGCCCGATAGTTAACTTATTTCTGCTTATGACATTTTTCGGTTTTATGTTCTACATATTTTTTGGCAGCAAAATAACAATAATCATAGCATTTGTGAAATAGTGAAATTCAAGGTTTGAGGGGTTTAGAGTGAAAATAATGCCGGCACAACCCGTACCAGACACAATGATAAGAAGCACCATTGCTAGAGATTGACTTACTTAATGTAATAGGGAACGAATTCAAGGAGAAATGTGGTCTGGGGCCCTCGAAATGACTGTTCAAATCTTAAAGGACATCGATCAATGGAGCGAAACCTCAATTTTTATCATTTGTACACTGTTCTGCTTGAGATGCTCAACAGGAATATTATATGCGTCTGTGTCAGAGTAAGAATTCATTCACCATACGAAGGAGGTTTTTTTTGCATAGTGAGGCAGAATTTGGGGCAACCCTATATTTCATATATGGTAATTCTTACATTGGCAGAGAGCTTTCGTATTCTCACATGAATACGTTGTTCAAAAAATAATAATAGTTTCATAAAAAATTGACTACTTAATTAGTCTAACAAATCAAGAAATTCGTTTTCAGAAGAGCCACCCAAGTATCTGACTCGCCAAATGAGCTTCCTCTAGTAGCTGTAAGACTAGCTCACAACCAGTGTAGCTGGAAGGCTTGAGATGCAGCAGCGGACATCTCTCATAACGATGTTAGAGTCATTTTTCTCATTTTCGTTCAGGCAAGCTTTCCAACAGCACGAAATCTGATTACTGAAAATGTCTTCCAGTTCAAATCAATTTCATCGTGTATTTCAAATCATCGTTTCACATCTCAAAGTTAGATAAGTTTGCAGCTTTGCCTATGTTTTTTCCATATATGTTTATGTTTATATGTTCTCGTATGTTTTGCATTCATTTGCAGCGAAATCGGATAATTCCACAACTCTTGCTAACTTGGTGCATAATAGTTTCATAAGGCTGGGTTCATACTGACCCGTAAATTCCGGAGCTGTTCCAGCACAGCGCACAATTCGAGCGCTGTGCTGGAACTGTTTCGGAACATAAAATCAGTATGAAGACAGCCTAAGTGTATCTTAAAAAGTTTAGAGAATATATTGTATTGCTTGTGCTTGGCAGCGCATGCCACATCAAAGCGCTCCACATGGTTTTGCGCAAAGTGAAAATTTTAATATAATAACAATTTTCATATTGTTGCTTTGTGTATATTCAATGAAGTGGTCTCCTAAGATCAAGAATACTCTTCTTACGTTCACTTGTACGATTCTTTATGCTTCAAAAGTGATTTTCATTGATACGCCTATATTCTTAATTTGTTATTACATTCCATATTGCTTTGATTGATTTAGTTGAGTAAATTGATTGTTCAATTAATATAAATTTGTGATATAAGATAATGGCACTTTGAGCTCGAAGTAATGATGGTAATGGTGGTTTCATTGATGCCTCTCAGAATTTGCAACTATGAAAATTAAAAAGTTTCAAATTTTCCACTGCAGCTCAAATCTCGCTCCCATTAGCACGAATAGATCAAAGATTGTAGCGATATGAGAATTGTGGGTCACGTGCTGTAACAAATTCCCAGCGAACATATTCAGGCTAAGGATTTAACAGCCCTAAACAGCCTGCGATGTAAATGAGTCAGTTCACAAATTGGCGTTTTCCGATGGCTCGATTATCTTCTTATTTTGAAAGGGATGTCTCTTTTCGATAAAAGCATTATACTAATAGTCAAAAGTTGGTTGGAGAATGTAGAGACAAATATCGGTATGTACAGAAGATTTAGCAGCATCTGTAACAAAAAATTTGAAGTGGAGCTGATCTGAGCAAGATATAAGACTTTTCCGTACACGGTGCAGAGAAAACAAACGGATTTATCTATCTTAAGCTTCGAATTGACCAAAGAAAATGAAAAGATTAATGATGCAATGGTTTGGTGTCACTTTTAAGTAGCTTAATTTAAGTTTTCTTTAGCTTCGAAGCATACAAAAACTATTATAATCCAAACTTTTTTCTGAGTACGTCACAAAAGCTATTGCCACAGAAGTCATAGAAGTCACAAACACATTGTATATATATACCACCTGCAGCTAAATCCGACAGTCACCTAATAAAATTTCTTTTGCTTATGTTTTCTTGGTTCTAATAGATGATAGCTTTTGCAATAGCAATTCTGGAACTACTCCTAAACTTTCAGTTATGCATTAATGCTACAATTGTCTTTGATCCTAAGCACGAGAGACTGAAGATATGAAAGATTTTTTGATACTTTTTCTTACAAGATGCAAATCGCATTTAGTGCTCTTCACGAAATAAAACTTTGCGCGAACGGAAAAAATCTTTAGGGAAGTCCAGAGTTTGCGCTTTTCATTGCTATGCGAAAAAGCTCACGTAAATATGAGGCTGTTAAAAGTGCAAGGGCCTTTATTTTTTTGATTTCCAACACTTTTTCTGAGGTTACAAAGAGCAAAGAAACTCTTTCAGATATCACCTTTTGATTATAATGGTATCAAAACCTGTCTAATCTACATAAAAAAAGTCTTTCTGACGATGAAAGATCCATTGCCCATTTTACAGAACAAAAAGAATCGTTTCAGTATAAAGTAACCGAATGGGGAGTTCGTCGACTTCAAAATTGCAGTTGCATTCAAATTCTGCTATATGCGCAAATATTACTAGCAGTCAAAATCCACCTCAGCGCAACTTTTCTCGCAAAATATGCGCGAGATATTAGAAAACGTCCTTTGAACGTTGAAACATTTGGCTCACTTTGCCAAGAAGAGAACACCTCAAATTTACTGAATCAGAAAATGGAGGAATTTGGATGCAAATATCAGTATTTCACACTTTTTTTAGAAATTTTTTATCACGTATAGCGTTCCAAAATCGTTACTCAAAATCATCAAAGCAGCAGTAATAGGCGCACAGCATTTACATATGAGCCTCTTCAGCTATAATTGTCCTGCGACCATCCTGTAGAAACAGGCCTATTTTTGAGAGAGCGTGTATCTGGGAGGCGTTCATGGACTACTTTTCGAGATAAGCTGGACATTGTCCCTGCAGCAAAACTTGCACTTCACAAACAGCTCAATTATAGCAGTTTGAGAAGAATTTTCCAAGAGTTCGAGAACTTTTTTAATCTATAATCAACGCCAGTACTCCGCTTAGAATTGCCGCCTTCAATCACGGTACTTGTACCTCCCTGATGGTCATTGATTACCAAAGTATGATAGTCTAAATAAATTTCTCGAGAACTTACGGGAATTTCATTTGCGAATAAATTTTTTTCATGCTCGCTTAGATAATTAAAAAGATTTGCTCTTATCCAGGCAATATTTCTTTGGATATGGAAGAGTGGACAATCTGCGAAAAAGAGAGAAAACACCGTTTATTATTACGAATCCTACCACTTCAGTGGAAAATTGACTGAAAGGCGAGCATCACACTACAGATCAACTCATTGGTTACAAGCCCAAAGCAACTTTCATTGGACTTCTCTAATCTCCTAACAGCAAGACGCTTCGATCCATCTTCTTCAATATCCATTTCTTGCAAAGGAGACTCAATCAGTTATAAACGCTGTGCTGTCGCTTTTCTCTCGTGTACCAGTATAAACAAACCCAAAAATTCATCAGAATTTTTCAGAGCACACTCAATTGCTGGAAATAACTATGAACTTCCTGTTTTTCCTTTTCCTCCTGGGAGCCTGTTTCTTAGGGCTAACGTATGCTAGAACCATCACGCCAGAAGAAGCGAAATTCTTGTAAGAGTGAAATTACGTTGTTTTAATGCGCGACAAAAATGCTGTGTTTTCAGGGATGAATGTGAAAAGAAGTGCAAAGTTGTCAATCACACATGCCGAAGAAACTGTTCCTGCAAGTTATGGAAGGAATTTTGCTGAATGAAAAGAGCACTTTTCCTCATTGCATGTTTCTTCTTGTGATAAGATGAAATAAAGCATTGTGCAGCGTGTTTGCAGGGAAATTCAACGTGAAATACTTTGCTAAGAGTGTGTGGTATTTTCTAAGTGCCTTCACTCTGCAACAAAGTCAATCATTTGTAGGCAGCTATGTTTGATAGAAGATCAAGCGAAAAATCCTCCTTACGCAGTTTAGCGAAGAACACATTGAATTAAAATTGCTAAAAAGAAAATTAATCCAGCCTAAAAGTTCTCTTATTCTGTGTATCTCTTATTCGTTGTGTAAACAATGTTTCCACTTTTAATTTTTGAGTGTCTTTAAATTGGCACGCCCTGTCGTGGCCATGTTACCGTGAAGAGTTCTATCTAGCTTCTTTGGAAAATTGAGGGAAACATCGCGTCATTTTCTTCCCATTTTTTGTTCCATTATGACCATAGAAGCTTATTATCTGGAAAATCAAAACGGCATCCGTGGCAGCAATCGCGGTCATAAGATCCAAGAGACAGAATGAAGTTTCCTAAAAATAGATTGATCAGTTGTTAATTTTTGACTTCTATAAACAGATGTATTAAAGCAGTCTAGAGGAAGTACAATACCGCTCACAGAATGTGCAAAATTTCCGTAAATGTCGCGAAATTCCGAAAATGTCGCGAAATTCCGAAAATTCCGCGACATTCCCGGAATTTCGCGAAATTCCGGAAAGTTCGCGGAAATTCGGAATTTCGCGACATTCACGGAAATTTTGCATGTTATGAGAGTGGTATTGTACTTTTGGGGCCCTAACTAACTGCCCAAGCGGCAGCGCAGGTAGTGCTCTAACGGCTGAGATTTTCCCCTCGAAACTGGACCCCGCCGTAATCGCATGGATTCATGGCAGTTTCGCCCCAGGACCCGTGCTTTGCGCCATGGATCCATGCGAAATACGATCGCGGGGTCCAATTTCGAGGGGGATATCTCCGCCGCTTGAGCACTGCCTGAGCTGCCGGTTAGGCAGCGGCTTAGTAAGAGCCCCAAAATTACTATCCACGCGAGATCCCCATGTGTCCAGACTTGCCTGGACTCTGCCTTCAGATGATCTGCTGAGGTGATCCAAGGTCATTTATCTTACCAGAGTTAGAAACAATCTCAACAGATAATAGAAACAGTGCGTGTTTTTATCATCTAGGCTATTCTATCGGTTTGGAATAAAAAGCAAGGAGGATGTCGTTGAAGCGGACCCCCCCCCCCTCACACATAACCGCCTTCTGCCTTTAAGTCACCCATCTTCTTCAGAAGATGCAAATAGTCGTTTCTGCCTTATCGATCTGCAAAAACCAAAAATTTCCTGTTTCAACATGTTCGCCGGTTAAGCGCGCGAATTCAAACCTGCCCCGAAATAAACAAAGGACTTGTTTGCGAAGAGAAAATGAAATGACACCAAAATTGGTGTGTTGATGGGTGATAATGAGTTAGGATTATGTGCAAAAATTTATGAAAAATCATGCGAACTGAAGGCGTGGCAAACTTTTTTCGGACTTAGGTGCTTTATAGCCACCTGGACGCAGCTACCTGAGGTAGCTGTAAAAAGAAAAAGTCGTATATTTTTCTTCCTTCACAATATTTTTTCACATATTTGACATACTTCTTCTACACCAAAAATCCTACAACTGAGTTTTTGAATCTCCCTAACCCCTTCTTCCTCGCGTGGTTACAGCCCTGCAAATATTTTGTATGGCGGCGGCAAGAACGCTCCGAGCGTGCAAAGGTGCGCGCCGGACAAAGCATGCCGCCAATTCGAAGAATACGAACATCTTCAGTTTTTTTGTCTGTTCGATGTAACTTTTATGTTTTGTTTCATTATTTTTCGCTACTCTTTTGATCCATTCATGATCGCGTTAGAGGGCGATGTCGTAATTTTGTGCGAAAGTCTACAGGGACTTCGTTTTTGAAAAATTGAAAAATCCACCTCATGCCGAGCCCTGCATTCACATGACCTTGTGAATCGCTTGCCGATTCACAAGACCTTAATCGCAGTTTTTGAAGAATCCGCACAATTGATCCGCTATTGCATCGGCATGTTAGTGTACATACTAGTTGTATGCGTTATGCAAAAATTGTGCTTAATTTTTGGGTGCTCCTTCAGCGACTTTCGTGATTTTCATTTTTTACTAAACATATTCATACATTAAAAAGCAGACAGTCTTAGCGCGTTATTATGGTAAGATATAAAGCTAAATGTCTGTTTTTCTGTACGTCTGTATTATGTGGATACGCATGTTCCAAACAGCTGATTCCATTTCGGAACCTATCCGAATCAAACGTTGCTCACATACACTTCATGGCCGGAGGGGTATTTTGTGGGCTACTTTTCATCGAATTTCTAACTTTGACCTACGGGTTGGGAATTGGCATATGGGGGGGGGGGGGGGAAGGGTCAGCATGCCGATTACGAATAAGGTATGCTTTTGAGATTATCAGTTTCCTTCGTCAACTATCGATTATCTGTAAACTTTGCGCTAAGGGGCTGGGAGTTGGCATCGCAGGGGGTATTTTAGTATGCTGGTCACAGCACAGCTTACTTATTGTTAGAACTGTCGGTTACGTTTATCGATTTTACCGAGTATTTGCAATTTGAATTAGCGCCAATAGCCGGGAGTAAGGGAGTAAGTGAGCATGGTAACAACGAAAGTAATATTGTTTTGGAAAAACACCCATTGCAATTACCATTTATCGATTCTTTGCGAAGTTTGGACCGGAGAGCTGGGAGTTGGCACAGAGGGGTAAGTGAGCATGCGGATTGGAAAGCCGTATATGGGGGCAGGGAAATGGCACACAGAAGTAAGACAGGGCAGGGTAATATTGTACAGAAATGGGAATAGTTACCTTTGTCATAGCATATTGACAGGGCCGGGCGGAGCCGGGCTCCATTAACAAAATACAGGACCTTTATAATCCAGGTAGACAAAGAAGAATACAGATAGTTAGTGAACAAGATATAGACGCATCCGTTCTCAGCTTTCCTTCCATCTCCAAAGAAGATGTGCGCGCACAGGGGCCTCACATAAGCAGTTCTCACTGCCTTGTGTGATTATTCAAACACTTTTTCTAACAAGAGAAAATACCAAGTCGCATGAGAAATTGGAAAGAAACGTATACAACAGAAGCGCCCTAAAATGCTGATCTCAGATCTTTTCTGCTTTTCTTTTCAGCGAAGCAACTTTCTGGAAGAAGTTGTGACTGAAAGTTGAATTTATCGAACCCCATAAAACCAGCGAAGAGCTGTACAAAAACACTTACAGTGCTTATCAATCGCAGAGTCGTGTGCACCAGCATCATCGTTCCCACGTGGCCGCCTCGTCCGGACTATGCACCTTTTTGGGAACCTGCTGTCCAATCGTTTTCACATGCTCAGTCAGCGACTGAAGCTCCTCCTTTCACAAGCCCGTGGCTTGGAAACGATAAGAGAACTTGTTCGCGAAAGAGGCGCAGAGTCCAGGAGAGGCGGACGCGCGGGAGTGAAGATTGCTATTGCACCCGACTCTGCACTCTGATAGCCCTGTATGTTATTTGCAGCGGCTGTGACCGTTACGTGTAGTCAATATACAGTATGAAATTGGTCACCTATTTTTAACGTTTTCGTACAGTTTCTCGCATATTTTAGCCACTTGAGGCTACAGAGATTTAGACTTTCGGCGCTCACAACTTCTTCTGAGAGAATTTTTCGCAAAGTCACATCCTTCGCTTTGGCGGTGCGTTTTGGTATACTATTTCTGAAAGATAGCTAGCTATACCTACACTTTTTCGAGCGACCTGTTAGCAATCCAAGGTAGGAAAAGAAAATCAAATCTTGGCGTGGCTTACCAACATATTGATAACAGCGGACACAAGTTCATACAGGAGGATACATGGAAATATTAAAGGATAATGCAAACTTCCTCACTGATTTGTATAAAGTTGCTGAGTGCAAACCGAAGTTTTTCACCGTTCTACGTTTTTCACTTGTGAAGCCAACCTACTCGCACTTTTCACACCTTTTTCATCTTATATATAAAGCTGGATGTCTATTTGTATGTCTGTCTGTCTGTGTCTGTATGTACGTATCTTCCGAATAGAAAATTTCAGTTCTGAACTGATCCAAGCCAAACTTCGCACACGTACACTTCGAGGGGGGTGTCATAGGCTACTTTTTGTCATCGACTGATATCGATTTTAACAATCTTTATCATTTTTTTGCAAAATTTGAACTACAGGGCTGAAAGTTGGCATAGGGGGGGTAATCGCGCATGCTGATAACTAACTCAGCGCAAATAGGGAATTGGCATGTAAAAGTGGGCACAGGGAAAGGTTGTACCGGGATAGGGATAAGAAGACTTTATCATAGTGTTTTGACAGGCCTGTGAAGCCGGGTAAGCCAGCTAGTTAATGATATTTGTAAGCAGTCACAAGAGCGTATCCACTAAGTGTTTCAACATGGTCATAACTAGCGCTATTGCGAGATGCTATCATTGGCGACTCAAAATTATCAATTCACCGCGCGCGGATCTTGAATGCACATCCGCAGTTTTCATTAGTCAATGCAAACTTGTCAAATTTTCTTGAAAGTGGGCTTACGAAGAATTGTGGGCAGGCGCACAGTTTTACTAAGAAGGTTTCGCGAAATCGAAGTGGCCGATCACGATTAAATGAATTCCATCACAAAGAGCTTAGAACGCTGTCAATTCAACACTCAAGCTCATTCTGGGCCAAAACCTATGGAACAGCTATCCATGCTCAAGATAATGCTGGCCCTCTTCGAATGTATTATATTTTGTGGTGCAAGAAGCAAATGGAAGATTTTCATAGTTTGCATCATTTAGAACAACGCAAACTTCGATGATATGAACACTCAATACGTCTTTCCCATCAGCGTGCTGCAGATCTGAGAGACAAAAATGTAAATGACGCTCCAAGCTGTTTGTAATGACATGCATCAGTGGTGATCGGCCATTTCTACCTTGCGCCCCTTCCTTGTAGGTCAAAATAGACTTTGTTTTGGGGCAAAAACAGTAAAAGGGGTGTTAAACACGTTGAGTATAATAT